CCCGGTAAATCTTCCAACTTCCGGTTGTGCTTATTGTCTTTATAACATTTGACACAGCCAACGAACTACGGAAAGTTAAACGCTGATTTTCCAGCTTTGTCGACCCATTTGTTTCAAGAGATACCGACATAACCAGAAACCCTTAAAAATATTTTGTAACAGTACCCCGTAATGAAGTTGATGCAAACGATATTTTTTGCATATGAATGTTATTGATATTAAGATATTGTATAACATTTATGTACAGATAATGAATCTGAATATAGATCTGCTTTACTAATTGTAATTCTATATTTGTGAAGACCTCCGATTATTTTGGCCTTAATTACAGCTTCTTTGGTTCCGAAAAAAACATTGAAGTCTTCAAATTTAGGGATATATATGGAAATTTAAAAAAGAAATTGCGAACTGGCATGGTTTAGTGTACTTCATTAACACATTCACTTAAGTAGCTGGCTCACATGCTGCAGCACATGACTATATAACAGTAACGAGCTTACCTGGTAAATACTGAGCACCTGTTAGGATTGGTTATGTAATGTAGTGGTTTGTTCTCGTTACCAAAGGTAGAACTTCTCAGGCTCTAATATAGCAGACATTGCGTTGGTTGGAAACTCGCTTCTATAACAGAGGTCATCGGGTTAAGGTATATTAGTACTTCTGATATGATAAGAACAAAATATAAACACAACTTTGTGAAATCGAATACTTCAGGCTATCGGGTGGTACGGTAACGGTAATTGGCTTGTCATATCTACGTCTTTGAGATAAGCGGAATTCTACAAAATAAACCAAAAAATTGTAATGTAAACAGCAACTATTTCAAATAACAACTGCGACCATCCCTCTAAATAGCTTCTCAGCGCGGTTTGGCATGAATTGGATTGGAACATTTTCTAAGCACATTTTTATTTCATTTTTATCATTTGAGCTTGATCTGTTTGATAGCAGCAGAAGACCAAGATTCGAATAGAGTCCTTTGCTTTATACACTTGTATCAAAGTATAGAGGAATTAATTTTGATAATTTCGTTACCTCCAAGGAATGCATTATCGCTAGTATCTTTAGTTTTATGACAGAACTTAAGCGAATTATTGCGGTATCCGCCGGCAGCTCCCAGCAGCGGGCCGCTCAGACAATATGCGAAATGTATAGGATATCCAACACTATTGTCAACAGTCGGCAGTTCAGATAAGGTACCATATATGGGGACGTCCACTGGCATCTCCCAACAGAATGGAGAGGTATTTAGATATCCAAGAGCATCGTATAAAAAGCGGGCGTTCAGTCAAACTACAAGATATGAGAGTATCTACCAGCGTCTGTCAATGGCGGCCAATTCAAACCAAATAAGAACATTCATATTTTACAGTATCAGGAAATGTATCACGGCACTAGATAATAATCAAACAAAATTTGAAAAACAGTAAACTGAGGATGGACACGTAGGTCCAACAACAGCAGACCTGATACGCACGATGTTTATAAAGTCCTTTTACCATAGATAGTCTTATGTCATTAAATCAGTTGTAATGAGAGTGACGTCCCCTTACGGTCAACAACCGGAAGTTCCATAATGTGTTATTATCAGGAAGCTTCGCATTCATCTAGACGTCTAATAGCTGAAATAAAAAACACGTTCTATTACGTAAGCTTTTAAACGTTTTAAGTCACCCTCGAGTGTCATTTAGATCACTTTGATCCTATTCGTAAAGAACTATTAGTGTACTCCCTTGCAATGTAAAACTGTCTAACATATCAATTGTAATCTAACATACACAAAATAAACCTAAATTGCCTTGTCGTAGAACTCAAGAGAAATCACCACTCGCTGTACCCTTTCCCGGTGATTAGGTAAATCTTAGTGTGGTCGAGAAGTTCTACTAAATATCGCCCCGTCATGACCACCTTACCAGAGAGGGATGGGCAGCGCGTGAGCTACATCTAATTTCGGGTCCCGGGTCGGTGCATGGCTGATTACTAATAATTCTTTTGGCCTTTAATTCCAAGGGTCATTTATTGGTCAGTTGGACAGGTTTTCGCAGATACAGACTCTATTCCACTGATTACTCCAAATCTGAGGTATCGATTTAGAACAGTTACGATACGAAGGATGTTTTGAGGAAGTCCAGGGTTGGCGGCGATTGATCAGACTGCCGACACTGCTACCAGCCAGCGTATCGGTAATACGGCGTATTGGTAATCTTTATATCCTCATTGCCACGACACGGCAGATCAATGTTCTCGTTTTGTGGTGATATGATAGATCGCTACAATGTACCAACATTTTTTATCCTAACTTATCATATTGGGTATCGATCTTTACACAAACAATTTTAAGTCTTGGTTGCCATGACACCGTGAATATGATTTATCTTTGGTACAGCATAGAGTCTATATATGTGCTTTCTCTCAAATACGCGCTCACATTTAAACGCGTTCATATACACTTTTATGAACACTTTCATGCATATACATGCAGACTATCCCACTTCATCTTCGTCAAAACTTTTGTCAATTCAGTAATACGCCTACCTATCTGTTGATGTGAAACGTCTTGTCTAGAGAAACTATGATATGGTCCTTCAATGTTGTGAGTAATCTGATAAAGGGAACTATCCTTTAGATCAATCGACAGATCGACAGAGACGGACTGGCAACCTGTAGTCCTAGGTTCGACTTTGGAAACTCTCCTCACTTTGATAACAATCCTAACATACACAAGTCCTTATGGAATTAGAGCCTTTCCGTAGCAATAAAAAACTGTTCTATCTGGAGCAGTCGTATTATTTTATGAATGGCGTAATCTTTACTACTGTTTGTATGTTCATGTCTCAATGAAGATAGATTGTAACGCCAACGAACTGTGTGCAATCTGATTATCTCTGTCTCTTTGATGTAAGTGGTCAGTCAGCAAGAGAGACAATTAGATTGTTTACTAACTTAGAATGCATTTCCAGTCGCAAGTTATAAATATCAGCGTACAAATCACGTATCCTCCAGAAGAAGCTTGCCAAGCCCGGAAGTGACATCAACTTCATGTAACTAATTTCTTTCATTTTTAGAGATACAAATCGTTTAATGACAAATGATTGACACCAAAGCAAGGACACAGAAACCATACTTTGCCTCTCGACGTCACTTCATGATGAAATTCTAAGATGACATTAACATTCCGACTAATTCGCAATCAGAATAAGGTTTTATTTCTTGTAATCACGACAAATGATTGATTGACAGGCCCACGTGCACATGTGTATGCACCTCACGTGACACGTGTTTAACACATCACGAGTATCTGTTTCTCCATTAATTCACAGACCTGTGTTAGAGCTTATCATAAGTCGTATATATTTTACGTAATCGACACAAAATATGGCAAAAACCAAATACACGGCGAAACTTTCACAAACTCCCATCTATTTTTAGCTTTTTTACGAGTCAATATTTCAACTTTGAATGTTTTTGCGTGATGTGAGGTTACCATTAAATCCACAAAAAATGACGAAATATTTGTTCGGTATTTGTTTGAAACAAAAACAGTACAGAAATTGAAGCAAACATTGAGTTTGTATCAAAGTTCCGGAATACCACTTAATTCGCCAAAAGCTCTTGTGTATACTCGACAATACAATTCTAATGTGACTCGGTAGTCAATAAAGATAGTTAGGTTTGGGGCCGTCAAAAAGATCTCGACTTATTGATAAAAACAGAGGAATACATACCGATTTCAGCATTTCCGGTGTGTATTCGGAATTTTTATCTCACATGTACTGTAATTTTAACAATTGGCGTGGACAGCAATAACAAACATTCTCAAAGATATCTAAATGAACACCCTGCCAATTTCAGCTAAAAGAGTTTGGCAGAATATTACAATGTTTGTGGGACATGAAAGGAAACAGTGATCAAAAGGGATCAGCTCGAAGTATAACGGAGCTCATAATTCAAAATGATTGGATTCATTTTAGCAAATTCATCTACAGGACTGTGTATCACAGATGTGCCGTAATAAATTGTTCTTATTAAAATAGATAAAGAAGACAATCTAGTTTCCTGTAAATAACAAATTCTTTTACTATTGACGAAAATTAATTAAGTATTTCTGATTTGTAGTTCTTTATACAGTGCGCGTTGCGTTAGGGCTTGACTTATTGCTTTATTTCCGATTGTGCACTCTTGTACCCGCAAATAAAATATGCATATATTCAAACGCAAAATGTGTGAAAAAGTAATGTTTTCCATTAGGAAATGCTTGCCAACCGAACACCAAGCATCGCTCCAATTACTTGTGGGCTGTCAACGAGACATTCCGGAGATGGATAAACCGGAGTATACTCCGATATTAGTTTAACCTGCTCGACCCCGATGGTGCTGCGGATATTGTCCCTATGATAGACGAGCATGGGTAGTCAGGCTTGTCAAGCAGTCCAGCGCCCTATACTCGAATCGTCAATTCGTCGCGTTACTGATTGACGTTTTTGGAGTGAATTAGAGAATTGAGATTTGTGAACCAGCAAAACAGAGTCTTGTCATCTTATGGTTACACATTTGAGTATCTATTTTCGTGATGTTTAAAAACAGGAGGACATTTATGACAATAATTAATGTTTTACACCAAGATTGAAGTAATTATAACAGAATCGCAGGTTAGGGTTTCAAATAAGTATGACGTGTTTCGGACGTTTCATTTACTAGTGCAGAGTGTCCTGTCCCAAGGAAACATGTCCCTGCCGATGTACTTGGTCGACTGCCAGGCCCTTTCATCCCGAATTCTCGATCATGTAAAATCCTGATGTAATTCAGGTTGGCGTGCGATAATAAGCTATTGAACACCTGCGATTTCTATCAATTTTCGATATGAGTGAATGACTTTGACAAATCACTAGTGACAGTTATAACACTACCATCTATCTACAGCCACCCAAAGAAGCCTGCTGTCCACTGCTATAGGCTGTACACGGCTATAGACTGCGATTAAAGCCGCCTGCTGTCCACCGCTAAAGGCTGACTGCGATTAAAGCCGCCTGCTGTCCAAGGCTATAGACTGCGATTAAAGCCGCCTGCTGTCCACGGCTATAGGCTGCGATTAAAGCCGCCTGCTGTCCACGGCTATAGGCTGCGATTAAAGTCGCCTGCTGTCCACGGCTATAGATTGCGATTAACGCCGCCTGCTGTCCACGGCTATAGGCTGCGATTAAAGCCGCCTGCTGTCCACGGCTATAGGCTGCGATTAAAGTCGCCTGCTGTCCACGGCTATAGATTGCGATTAACGCCGCCTGCTGTCCACGGCTATAGGCTGCGATTAAAGCCGCCTGCTGTCCACGGCTATAGGCTGCGATTAAAGTCGCCTGCTGTCCACGGCTATAGATTGCGATTAACGCCGCCTGCTGTCCACGGCTATAGGCTGCGATTAAAGCCGCCTGCTGTCCACGGCTATAGGCTGCGATTAAAGTCGCCTGCTGTCCACGGCTATAGACTGCGATTAAAGCCGCCTGCTGTCCACGGCTATAGACTGCGATTAAAGTCGCCTGCTGTCCACGGCTNTTATGCTGCGATTATCGCTTTAATTCATGACCAATTAATGCACACTATAGCTTAGAGGTTCCATTTGTACTCTGTGACTACGTGATTGAAAAAATTAAATCCTCGAGTTTCTCTTTCTAATGTTTTCCCTTCCATTTAACTTACCCATGATCGCCGGTTGGCGTTTGTCATCAATGGACGTTAGAGAATCTGACCAAGAGGTACACTATATATATAATACCAGTACTTATCACAGTACACAATAACACATTGCATTTATTGCAAACAATTATCGAACTGTGATTTTTAAAAACATCTTAAATGAATATTAACACTTCGATTAAAACCCTAGTGCACACTAGCACTTCCCTTGGTGTGATGAAGTAGGATCTAGATTACATTCCTTAAAACAGTCGTAATATTTAGTTGGAATGCCAAGAACTCTTTACCAAATTTTAACAGGTGATCCCTCAAACGTCACTAGAGATAATGAGCGCCATGGTGTCGCACATATGGCGTGATGACCGCGTCTCTAGACGACTTCAAAACGACTTCAAAACGACTGGTAGGGTTATGAATAATACAGGATTAGTACAATACCATAAACCCACGACCACAACACCACACAACACTTTATACCCGCAGGCTTACATAATCGTAAAGGTAATTCTCTGTCCTCAAATTGCAATAAAATGAATGTTTTGAAAACTATAAATCTCGAGATTGAATGTTGCGGAGAAATGAATCTAGATATAAAGCAGAAGAGATGCTTCGTTAAAGACAAGATAGTGCCCGGCTATCATAAGATTTACATTTCTGTCATTATCTATTTTGGCACAATCCGTATCGGCGGGAAGGATGTGTCTCGCCCCAGGCTCGAGCCCACAGAACGAGCGTCAGGTACCGGCGGCATTAACGAACATATCGGTGGGGAAACACTATATATCTACAACTTCTTTCCGTGTTTAAATTTGGCTAATTGTGTTTCCAAATAGGATGTTTATATCATGTGTAAATCAGGCACAAACTGGGGAAATTACTGTCTGTAATCACACCAGATTCGATCCGTTTGGTTTATAGAGAATCTAGAATCTGTTCCCGCCACTGACGTCATACTCATGACCTGCCGCCAGAGGGCGTTCTAAACAAACAATGATGGCGAGTTCGCACTTCCGGACAAAAATCCTAGATATCTATATACACATGTTTTCATAGTTAAGATATTTTATTTTAAGTTGTGTTAATTAATGTTTGGCAATTTGTTTTGCCAACCAACATAATTATGTTTCTAAATATTTCTATCATATGTTTCCCCAACGTCTTATTTTGTCTATAAATGAATCTAAAAGTGGGCTCGTAGTCTTATTACATAACTGGCGAATCGTAAAACTGTGATACAGTCAGCATTAAGACAGGGCAAACAATGGTCCTGCATGTCACAATATTATAATACAAGATTTTCTATAACCCAGTAGCCGGAACTCCTTTAAGGCTGGAACTCATTTGCTTGTAATCCACTGATCAAATCAACGAACTGAAGCGGACATAGCTTCAATCATAGTTAGCGCGTTATTTTTTTATGTTAATGTGATACTATTATTTCGTCCTAAACGTCGTTTTGCCCGCCATTGTAGTTCGGTTAAAGTGTAAATGTTTTATCAGAAAATATAACATGGATGAAAAGAAAGATTGTACATTTTTTATTAAACTATTACCACACATATACATTTCCTCATTTTACATGTCCGACTGCACTGGTTTAATAAAAAACAATTTAACTGGGATAACTAGTATAAAATGATAAAATATATACAAATATATCCATAAGCACAAACTACGCATGCAATTAGAGATATCAGATGAAGATTTATGTATAGGATTTCCTATATATTTAAAAGTGCGTATTGATCTTTCAGACATCATAACAAAATACAACAGTGGCCCCCAAATTACATCTGATTTCACATTACAAGTATATTAATGGACCCGATTTATATATAATATAAGAGTGTATCGGTGCTACTGACGTCACAATACAAATATTGAACCCTATCTATATCTAAGCAATACATACGTAAATATTAATGTGTCTGACGTCATATTATCAAACTCCCGTTACCGATGTTACAATGTGTTAGTTTTTTAAACAAAATTCGAAATAGGTCTCTAAGTCGGGACACCCTCCCTAATTGCACAGTTGCATGCAGTTACAACCTGTCTTCAATCTAATAGCAATTTCCCCATCAAAGCCAGTTATCTACACGATTTCTCCACTGGTTACCGCTTTGTAATTTTCTTTGATTTAGAATATTAAAATCTGTTGATGGGAGTCGGCGGGACATAGTGCTATTTCATCTCCGCGCACAGACACCTGGTAGTGGGTATGTACATGTGTTATATAGGGCTAGGAGTGTGGAGGAGGAGAAGCAGGACGGTAGAAAGAAAAAAAAAACTAAAATATTCTCATTTAACATTTTTAATGTAATTTGTAAATCACATGCGAGAAAAAACAGCACTCGTCAATACTCAATTAATATATCAAAAGTAACATAAGCGGTTTATCGAAATATTTATTTTATCATATTTTAAATTTACAAATTCAGATAAAAGGGGGAAAAGGACATCATATATTTGGAAACACGTAATGTAATATGTATAGTAAGCTTTTAACATAAAACAGACACGTTTCATTAACAAACTCTCCTTAAGTACATGTGTGTAGATTACAAGCAGTATCTAAATGGACATTTGTTGCTCCTAATACATCTTTCCTGAACACAAAAAAGGGACCTTGAAGTAAAGGTACCTCGACGATAAATCAAGATACCTAAATTACCTAGTGTTTATCCCCTGTTTAATCTAAATGGCATTTCCCCCCATTTAGCAGTTTCTAAAAAAATTGGAAACAACATTATTATTTAAAGCTTTACGAGTTTTGATATAAATCCATCAGTCCACGACGCCCTCTCGAACAATCATGGATGCAATGGTTTAGATAGGATCCTTATAATACGTGCATATAGTTTACCTTAAAACAAATTATTTTGTCAGATATGCAGAAGATTGGACACATGGTGCATGCTTTATCAATCACGTTTTGATAAACACAGTCTATCAGTCATTACTATAAACATCACCTCCGTGGTAAGGAGACACAGTCTATCAGTCATTACTATAAACATTCCCTCCGTTGTTAGGTAACAATATCAGTCATTACTATAAACACCACCTCCGTGGTAAGGTAACACAGTCTATCAGTCATTACTATAAACATCGCTGCCGTTGTTAGGTGACACAGTCTATCAGTCATTGCTACAAACATCACCTCCGTTGTTAGGTGACACAGTCTATCAGCCATTACTATAAACATCACCTCCGTTGTTAGGGGACACAGTCTATCAGTCATTACTATAAACATCGCTGCCGTTGTTAGGTGACACAGTCTATCAGTCATTACTACAAACATCACCTCCGGTGTTAGGTGACACAGTCTATCAGTCATTACTACAAACATCACCTCCGGTGTTAGGTGACACAGTCTATCAGTCATTACTATTAACATTACCTCCGTGGTAAGGTGACACAGTCTATCAGCCATTACTATAAACATCACCTCCGTTGTTAGGGGACACAGTCTATCAGTCATTACTATCAACAGCACCTCCGTTGTTGGGTTATATTACCCGCTGACGTTACCGGATGGCTTCCGTGAATCTTATAAAGTAAGCGACATATCTAGACTGCAGGAACTTAACATAATAGCTATCAGTCATTACTATAAACAGTACCTCCGTGGTAAGGTGACACAGTCTATCAGCCATTACTATAAACATCACCTCCGTTGTTAGGTGACACAGTCTATCAGCCATTACTATAAACATCACCTCCGTTGTTAGGTAACAATATCAGTCATTACTATAAACACCACCTCCGTGGTAAGGTAACACAGTCTATCAGTCATTACTATAAACATCCCCTCGGTTGTTAGGTAACAATATCAGTCATTACTATAAACACCACCTCCGTGGTAAGGTAACACAGTCTATCAGTCATTACTATAAACATCTCCTCCGTTGTTAGGTAACAATATCAGTCATTACTATAAACACCACCTCCGTGGTAAGGTAACACAGTCTATCAGTCATTACTATAAACATTCCCTCCGTTGTTAGGTAACAATATCAGTCATTACTATAAACATCTCCTCCGTGGTAAGGTGACACAGTCTATCAGCCATTACTATAAACATCACCTCCGTTGTTAGGGGACACAGTCTATCAGTCATTACTATAAACATTTCCTCCGTGGTAAGGTGACACAGTCTATCAGTCATTACTATCAACATCACCTCCGTTGTTGGATTATATTACCCGCTGACGTTACCGGATGGCTTCCGTGAATCTTATAAAGTAAGCGACATATCTAGACTGCAGGAACTTAACATAATAGCTATCAGTCATTACTATAAACAGTACCTCCGTGGTAAGGTGACACAGTCTATCAGCCATTACTATAAACATCACCTCCGTTGTTAGGTAGCAATATCAGTCATTACTATAAACATTACCTCCGTGGTAGGGGACACAGTCTATCAGTCATTACTATAAACATCTCCTCCGTGGTAAGGTGACACAGTCTATCAGCCATTACTATAAACATCACCTCCGTTGTTAGGTGACACAGTCTATCAGTCATTACTATCAACATCACCTCCGTTGTTGGGTTATATTACCCGCTGACGTTACCGGATGGCTTCCGTGAATCTTATAAAGTAAGCGACATATCTAGACTGCAGGAACTTAACATAATAGTTCCTCCACGTTAAAGAGCTACTTCCGGTGGCTCAAAGACACTGGCGCGCGTGTCGGCGCTTGCGCTGTTTATAAGAGAAGAATTGACGTGTATACGTTTGAAGACTGAGATGTGTATACAGCCCTGTGAGTTTACACTTGGTGGTGACATAACTGTGTGTTGAAATGTTAGCACGACTTTTGAGGAAACTGGACTATATTTATGTGACAACGTCTTGCACTTGGGAATGTTTATTACACAACCTCATGGTACGATATGTAAGTAAACGCGAAGGACATATCGTGGTATAACGCATGTATATAAGAGAAATCTTGTGGTATATAGTCCATTCACGAGAAATAGTTTGGTATCAAATTTTGCGTACTTTTCGAATCATTTCA